GAAGAGCTCAGAGGTAATGGAACGCACTTGACCGAGATTGATACCAACGGGTCCCCGAAAACTAAAGTCTTCTTTGTGCTTGAGGGTCACTAAGTACCAATAAAGGTTAGTCGATATTTTTTTCAAGTTATGGCATTGGGGGGAATTTGAGCTTGTCAAAACTTAGAAAGGCCGAGACTGTAAATGACATAGGGAAATATATATTGGAGATGACAACTACTTAAGTAGCAATCACGAAATGAAGTTGACATATAAGAAATAATGGAAGCAGATACAGCCGATGACTGCCGCCACACCTGTAGACTGGGCCACCAAGCTTCAGATCGCAGGAAATCGGCTATCAGGATAGCTACTCCTTACCGGAATGGAAATTCTGAGTTCCGACATGAGCATTGTTGTTTGCTGACCACTGCCACTGTTGACATTGTTGGTCTGTGCTCCTCCACTGCTGTTGAAAGCCAAGGCCGTATGCTCTTCGCCAGGAGTCGAGATTTTGACAGATTTCATCTCTTTGAGAATATCTTCAAGTTCGGCATTTTGCCCCGGTGTAGCAGAGTTGACGGCGTTGTGATTGACGATAAGTTGAACATCTTGAGTGAGTGTAGTCATAAGTTCTTCAACTTTGTTGCCCTTTCCAAGTCTGCGAATGACTTTTGTGTATCGTTTCTCCCACGTATCCTTTTCACCAGGAATAACTATTTCGAATATTTCTCTCAATTTTCGAACCTTTTCACTGCAAGAATCAAGGATATTCTCTAGAGCGTCGCAAACGTCTGAAGGTATAGAGTCTTTGCCCGGTTCTAAGTCGTTCTGGCATGTCTGAAGGATGTGGAGGAGAACGGGCAGTCGGTTTCGAACGGATTCAAAAGTCTCAGGTAACTTGATGTCATTCCGAGTACTATCGTAGAGCTTGATCGAGGTATCGAGGAGAGCAATGATCGCAGAGATACCGCCGATCACTTCCAGACCCGACATCTGGGGGTTGTATGCTATAGGTAGTTGAGAAATCTCACAAAAAATGTGTGATACAACTTGAGAATGCCGCAGTTCGAGAAAAGTTAACAGGGGGAAAAGACGAGAGGGATTCAAGCCCCAGTATGTATATGGCCCACCAGCCCACCTTTGCCTATGGCATTTTTGAATATTTAAGCACGAACAGGAACTACACGTGTCGACAGTATATTTGCCAGATGTGATAGCGCGCGCGAAGCTTGCATTAGTTCCCTCTATACGAGCGTTGTAAACACCAATCACTTTAAAAGCGGCGACACACGGCAGAATTGTGGGAAGATCGAACGAGCTTTGCGGTAGCTACGAGTAGGCCCATTAATAGCAATCTGTATGCGAAACATTAGCTTTGGATTTGATCATCAAATCAATTTTTGTGATTATTTCTGATTACCACTTTTCCTTGAAAGGTGGACATTTTTTGAACCCCCTGTTCTGAGAATATGAAGTGAATATGAAGTGAGACTTGATCGATTTCCACATCCCTACTCAGGTACGTAGACGTCCATTTAAATTCTTTTCATCAATCATTGGTCCAATACGTCAAAACAGTGTTGTCTAAGATTGTGAATGAGATATGTAGACCTCGCGGTGGTTGAGCTTGAAGACGCCGGCAAAGAAAACTTCAACTTTAGAATATAATCAAAATCAAACTTAGAGGATATAAACTAAGGAGCTGAGTATGGTAAACGTACAGGGGCTTGACAGCATAGAATAATTGTTCAGAAAAAGAAACAGTAATGCAGACGAGTATTGAAAGCTTTAAGATTGTAAAATTGACTTCCTTCCAAGAAACAGTGTCAGACCAATCAAGCCAAACACAGTGAAAACCCGGTAGCCTGTGATAAAATTTCTGATAGCCTGGCCAATATGAAAACTGATGGATTTGCTTACAGCAGGGAGGCGAATATCATCGAAAGCTTGTAGGACACAGTGAGCGGTCTGAAACTTTCCATCCCAACAGCCCTCGACAATCCGACCAAGCCATATGTCAGTTGTTTTAGGCAAAACCTCTCTCTTTGGCCAGTAAGCTCGACCATCAGTAGGAAGGTTATCTTTGAAGAGGTCGACACAAAGTTTTTCACCTGTCACAATCTCATACATGACTGTTCCAAGTAGACCAATATCAATCTGGGTATTAAAGCCGTGATCATCCACCGCTTTCATGTCGGACTCCAAAGGTAAAATGGATGCTTCTGAGAAATCGCAAAACTTGATGGAAAAATCTGAATTGAGAAGGAAGTTTCGGCTTGCGATGTCTGTGACAAGTATACGCCTGTCATGGATGAAAGCGAGAGTTCGAGCTATCTCAAGACACCACAAGAATTGAAGTCGGAGAGATGGTTGGGATTTCTCGAGATAAGACTGAAGGTCACCATTGGGCATGTAAGCAAGTTGTGTAGATTCACTGGACATCCCCAGGCAACGAATAACTCCATTTGGGCGATTGTCATTACATGGCAGGTCTTGTAGGCGGTGATAAACATTCTGTTCATGCCTCAGCTTTTGAATATTCGTTTGAACTTCGTATGTATCGCTCCAAAGACATTTCAAAGGGATTTTGACGGCAATATCATCTTGAAGTAGCACCAGTGCGGAACTTCCACTTCCTATGATCTGTTCTTGGATGATGGGATTTGCTTGAAGATCAAGAAATTGTGTCGTCATAGTCAAAAGGAATGAAATGTGGTTGGGTTGTTAAAGGGGTTCCCAGTCATTAAATACAGCAATCTTGGCACGTGACTACACTTCTGGCAATTCATGCCACGCTGGGTCGAAATTGTTGAGACTTGACGGCAAGAGAAAGCGGAATGGAACCGACTGAATTCACTGCGGGGAGAGAAAGAGAGAGAAGGGAGAAGCTAGAAGGCTGCGAGCTATCTACACATGGGGGTTGGGGGCGAATACCCTACACAACAGAACTAGCTTGCGATGTAGGGGTGACAGGGTCACAAAGACTACCTCTTTTTTTGGCCGGGACACACCATTAAATGTGGTGTTGAGTGGGGGCTGGAAACAGGTTGATGTTATGTTATTCGCCCCAGGAAGACGGGAAAGAAAGAAACCTCGGGCTACAATCCTCTCCACGGTCCTTGGCGGTCATCAAAAAGTCCATTCCATAAGCAATTCAGTATAAATTTCCTCCTCCCTCTTCCTTCCCCTCCTCTTCCTTCCTTTTTATCTCCTTCGTCCTCTTGATCCACCCCACGGTGTACTCATCAGGGTCCCAAGCGAGACGAAACGTGTACCTTTCTTTGAGTTTCAGATTCACATATTCCTCCATGAGCTCTTTCTCCCCAGGATCCAAGAGATGAAGTCTCTGGCGCCATACATCGCAAGTATTGTCATATTTATATGCGGTCGGTCCGAAGAATCGCTGATCAATTTTCTTCCAATATATTGCATCAAAGGCAAAATTGTTCCTCGCGGCGTATATGATCCAAAAGTCTCCGCTCTGCCAGCTATGCCGCATCCGATTTGATAGTCGCTGGCCTTCAAGTAGCCGTCTCTCCTGAGTTGCCTCATCTTCGCATTTCCGCATTGCCTCAAGGAAGGTCTGAAGCGCCTTCTCATACTCCGTACACCAGTCCTCGAGGCCTTTAGGCCAATCTTCCGGCTTTTTGAGAAGAAGCCACCAAGGTGGCAAATGAGCAAATTCGACTGGGGCGGTATATGTAAATTCCCAATCAACCACTCCCGTGATGGTTTCAGCTTCATCAACTAAAACATTTTCGGGTCGAAAATCGTCACACCAAATTGGAAATGGACCATCATTATGAAAAATCCATTCCTTTCTCTGATCCTTGTCTCGGACAAGTTTCCGAAAGAGAAATCTAGCCACAAATTTGCGCCGGATGTCATCCGCCAAGACATTCGCTTCAACATCCGCCTCGACGTCCGCCTCGTTCCTTTGGCTTTTGAGGTGTGATATGTGCAGATCCGCCAGGGCTTCAAAGTACGACGACGCATTGTCGTACGTGCTGATCGGTAATTTCGATCGGGTTAACGTCCCCAGTTGTACGATTTCGTTCATTAAATATGATAGGGGCCGGTGTAACACTTCCCACGTAGAATGGTCATTTTTGCCAAGCGATCCAATCCGGTTGAATGAGAGTGTGGACAGGGAAAGGACGATGTTGGCGAGTTTTCCATAGAGAGCTTCTAGCCTGGCCAGCTTGAGGTCCGGATTAAGGACTGGACGTTGTCCCCCTTGTCGTCCTGGCATCTCAAGAAGATCACTCATACTTCTCTTGTGGGTAATATAGTTCATGATAATGAAAGGGCCCAAGTCTGAGGGACTCTCTTTTGTCTCTCCCCGGCGGAATATGGAAGGCACCGTAATAGGAGATTTTTCCAAGAGGAACTGCATGGTAGAGACCTCATTGCGGATTTTCTCTTCGGGAAACATGACAGCGCCGGGCAGTGGGAACCGTATAATAGCGCCGCAATTATTGGTGAATTCCATCTTAAAACAGGTATTGAAACCGCCTGTGTTGAGGAATCCGAATGAGGTCCACTCAAGATCGCTGAATTCTTCAGAAAGAAAGACCCCGATGTCATTGTAGATGTCACCATCAGTTCGAAGAAGTTCTGGCCAGTCCTCCCAGAGCTGGGTGCTTATTGCCCAGGCAACATCATCGTAAGGCTTGCATATGGACATTTTGGGAAGAATGATAAAAAGTAGATTGAAAAAAAAGCTTGAAGACGCCTGATGGCCTTTCGTATGAAATTAAATGTTGGTGATGATTGGAAGGATATAAGGGGTCAAACGTACTGAAACTGACCATTTGACACCCCCGGTCGCGCGATTGTAAAGCGGCGCGCACCCATCTCTCACCTGGGCGACACCCACCGAACTATTGACTGTACATAAGCCACACGCTGGTGAGTTAGTGGTTGGTTGGGTGACCACCAGCGAATCCTCACTGTTGTATGTTTTTATTTTTTCAACTTTGTGATTTGTCTATCTGCTGCGCGTTTGACCGATCTGATCGAAGTCATCACAACGGGACTATATGTTGCGGATACAGACCAAACACAATTCTAACCTACACCCTAGCAACAACAACAGCTCCCCTAACGACCCCCGTAGCAGCCCACCAGTCAAAAACCCGTCTCGCCATCCCAAACTTCCCCATAGGCATCCCATACTCCTTCCTCACAGCCAAGAAGCCTGCCAGCCCCGCAAAAACAAATTTACTCACATCTCTCACCTCAATATTCTCCCTCTCATACCCAACCGCAACAAGCATATCTACGTACTCCTTCTCAGTAATGAAATTCCCAAACGGCGCATTCGTCCCCAGACACACGATCCGTAGTAATAATTTCTGCCACCAAGTCACACTCTCTCCGATCAGAAGATCAAAAGCCATAAACGAGGCTTGTAAAGTAACCGCATGGACCAAGAGAGGAATCCGCGAAGGTCGGAAGTGATATAATGTGTCCAGAGCCAGGAGCCAAGTTGATTCGTCTTTTGGGTCATTGCTCGTGTTGACCAGGGAAGACAGCTCTGCGGGCCAGTTCGAGGGGATTGATGCATTCCCACAGAAAATCTTTGCTGGGATTGAGGGGTTTGATTGATTGATTCGACTTTTTGCGAGGCCCGCTTGGGCGGGTTCGAGTGTTATGCCCAGATAAGACGTTAAGGTCGGGAGAGATTTGTTTGTCGAGCGGTGGCGGAGGTTTTGATTTGGGGATTGACTCTCAAGATGTGAGGGCTCTTCAGTTTTGGCATTTTGGCAGCTTAGCGTTTTCAGAAGATATAGTGATTGATCACCGCAGCCACAGCCCACATCTAGGATTTTGATGGATTTTGATTCTTTTGAGAGAGCTGTTGTCAATACCTGCTCCAATAGTGCTTCGCATGCTTCTGGGAAGTTGTTGGTGTGCTGTCTGTATTGTTAGTTTTGTTTATTTGATTTTGATTGGGTGTGACTCGCCTCCCAGTACCCCATGTTCATCCACATGGTCTGTGGCGGAAATTCAACATTGAGAATGGCATGGTCAAGGCCGTATAATTTTGGTGTTGGGTTGCGCAGGGCGCGTTTGATGAACTCCAGCATTTTACTCCGTATAGCCAGGGTTAACGGGTTTTGGCGAGTTTGGGATGGAGATGTGTGGTGGAGTGGTTTGCCAAGCATTTATGCAGTGTACATACCATTTCGGCCTGAGGCAATAACGGATGCCTGAATGTTTACCAGTAGAAAACTATTACACACCCCGTACTAAGCAAAATACAACGAGCGAAAACACAGGCCAACAGGGCAGGGGAGAGGGAGAGATGCCTCCGGTGTGAGCGTGGACAGTGCAATTAGCCCCTATTTTGCAAAAATGGCGCAATCGTATGGTCTAGGAGAAAATGATGGGAGATGATGCGTAGGTGAATGATGCGTAAAACGAGGAAAAGAGGAAGAGAGGCCTATATAAAGTATATGCTGGAGCTGAGAACTGTAGGTGGATCCATACTTAGGATCCAAACACCTGATCAACAAAAATGATATCGGTAGTGATCCATAGGGGTTTTAGAAACTAATAATAGAAAGGCAAAAGCTGCAACGAGGAGATGCCAGACTCAAAATAAGAGGGATTATCGACTTCCATCCAACACGAGCATTTTCTCCTCGAGAAAAAAAAGGATTTGTCGCTTTGAGTCCTTCCAAAGCGATAATGAAGGTCTTCAATCGGTTCAGAATCCACCTTGGCTACACAGTTCATTTACTGATACAGTGGTATATGATGTGCAGACTTTGTGGTGTGGATGTTCTCCGCATTCCTTGTTTGCTTCCAACATTGTTTATACTTCCCCGGCGGCTATGAGACATAACAGTATGGTTTTTTATATCTGGAATCTGCGATGGTTCAATATCATGTGGTAACTCATTGCGGTGGCTTACTGCTTTTATCTCTACTGCTCCACAAATGTGTGATTCCAGCTATGCACTTTCCAAACTATCGCTGCCTTCCGTAAATGTCAACGTACCTGCCCTGCTGAGCACTCGTGTGTACTTTCATAGATCCATGGAGCTTCGTTGTCCAGCGTCTCTTTCCTTTGCGGCTTATGACCTTGGGGTAGTCCTCTCCACTCGTTGCTCCCATTGTGACATTCGTTTGCGCTGTGACATTTGTTTGCTCTGTGGCATTCGTTCGCTATTTTTACCCTTCTCAATCGCTAAGATTCCCCATGGGTCAGCCTCGACCGCACCCTCACTGACTCGCAAGTCTTTAACGAAGCATGCCGACTACCTACATCGTTGCAGGGCCGCTGCAGAAAGCAACTTCGGTTGCTCTTATCATCAGACACCGCCGGAGGATTCCGGTGAGTAACTATACCGAAGGCACACAGAGACTAACAGCTGATCTTTTGCGGGGCCAGGTTGAGAAGAACCGTTTGGGCATCAAACCCAGTCCAGCGCCGTGTGTTCCGCATGCCGATTCACCACTAGAACCTGAAGGTTTGGGGTCTGACGTGATACCGTGGAGACATACATGAGGAGTGTGAAAAGGATATTCCTGTGGCTCTCGAAGTTTGTCCGTCAGGAGGGCAAGACAAGACACGACAAGACAAGACACGACAAGAGAGCCAAAAGGAGAACCAGTTCCTGGCCGAAGGATAGAGGGCAAAGTCTTCACGCAAGACATCCACCAACTCTGCACCTCTCAGCTCTCTCCCCATCTTCACTAACCTATTTTTTCTTCACTTTCTTTTCACATTTGACCACTTTTTCTACATTTTTAACCTGAATTTGACGTCTATCTCGGTCAATATATCGAATTTGGGCCTGGATTACCTGATGGAGTCAGATTCCGACGATCCCGACGTCATACTGGACTCTCAGCCAACCAGTATGCTGCCGAATCAGCCAATCAGCATCTCGGAACCCTCGCTGCCGTCGAACCAGCCAATCAACACCCCATAACCCTCACTGCCAGAACCCTCGCTGGAACCCTCGCTGGAACCCTCGCTGCCGCCGAGTCTCCACAATCCTGAGAACCAGCCTCTTCGACCTATCGTTACTACTTTTACACTTCCTGACCTTGATCAAGAGTATCAAACACCCGAAGATGGAATTGAAGCAGTGAATACAACTGGAAGGCAAGAAGGGTTTTTCAATCCTTCATTCAAAGTCCGTCAAAGGTGTCAAAAATACAGTCTATCTTTGCTATGATCGAGGGCGTACCTACCGAAACAGAGGCCAAAAGAATACTGATGCAAATGGCGACGACGATGCTGCTACTGGTCGGGTAATACGAAGTGTGCGTTTACTTAAGTAGCAGAGGGACTGGATGATGTGGATACATGAAGCTGGTCAGATAGCAGCGCCGGTGAGGCGACGATGAGGTAGCAGCGCCAGCGAGGTGAATGTACGACTACATAGTCCAAAATGGGAAGCAGATGTCAGTTTGTGACCCCTGCAGAATTACATTGCTTAGTATGAGGATCCGAATGGTGTATTTTATGTAGTACTATGTAAAATTCGGTCATGAGACGTTTCTGCCAATAAAATAAATTTACTGCCGGATTTTCCATCTGGCCGCCTTCTAATTGGGCTTAGCGGCATGCAAAGGGGTGTGGTAGCAGACATTTGGGGTGTGGAAGGAGAGGACCCCTTTAAATATTCTGTAATATCATAGGCACTTTCAGGATTTGATTGACAACTACGCGTCAAACGGTTCCCGATTTCGAGCGTGTTCTGCGGATTTACACCGCATTACAATCATTGCGTGGAATATACAAACCTCCTTCGCAGGACCCCTAATGAGACTTATCCACACCAGCACACCAGTATCCAAATATACCCTTCAATATTCTTTTTGTCATGATTGACCCACAGGACAGATTCTTCTCAGAGGGTCAGGGCTATTTTGGCGCGAGGGAAAACCCTGCAACCAAAACTCATTGCGACGTCTGGGACTGGGATCAGCTGCGATTGATCAAAGTTAAAGGAACTGCTAAACTTTTCCCGCCCGAAGAAGATATTGTGACTTCAATTATTGCGCAATTTGCCGATGACCTTTCCCCAGAGGTTCGTGCAATCACGGTCGACGATGACGGGCTTCTTACTGGAGTTTCGACAGACCCGGAAGAAGATGATACATTCTTTGTTGGATATATTCCCTTCTCAATCTGTCAGTCACTTGCAGATTGCCCTAATATCTACTTCTCCCAACTTCGAGAGCTCGATCGACTTGGACCGGGTGTCGATCTTATGTCGTATGATGATCACACAGTCGCGTTCAAATTCAACCCTCTAGGTATGCCTCGAAGACTACAAATGTCCTGGAAAGAGATAAACCTGCTCAGCAAACTGCCGCCACATCCTAACATAATACCGTTCGACCGCATCGTTCTCGAGGATGTGGAGTCTCAAGTAATTGGATTCACAACAAAGTACATCCCAGATGGAACACTAGCCGACGTCGATTCAAAAAGGCCTTTCCGATTTGAATGGCTACAGCAGCTCACTCAGGTAGTGGATTTTCTGAACCTAGAATTAGGGATCATGCATCAAGACATTGCACCACGGAATTTGCTTGTCGACCCCGAGACAGACAAGATTATTCTCTTCGATTTCGATTGGGCCGCCAATGGGAAGGAAGGTCTACTGGATAGTCGAGACGATGTGTCTGGTGTTGTGTTCACGCTATACGAGATCATCACCAACGATACTCATCTCACGAGCATTCCTCACTGGGACCGAAATACGGACATGATACAGAATATTGAATGGACTTGTCGCCGCGAGCTAAACTCTGATGTATCAAAGTTTCGCAAGTTTCTGAATGAGTGGATAGCGACAAGAACCGACAGAGCCACAGAACGGTATTTGAATGCACCCAAGCGGCTTACATGGTCGGATCTCCCAACTCCTCCAGACTACAGTGTGCCCTTTGAGCTGGGTCGGACAAAGGAAGGGGAAACTCTTTGGCGAACGGGTGCGCGTTCGAGACGCATTGCACTAGAGAAGGGGCAATACTGCTTTCGGTGGGAAAGGCCACCACAAAGCAGGTTATTGGAGAAAACAAAAATGGCATGTAGTAGCTGATGACTGAAAGACTGCTCAGTTAGCTCGAACTTGGAATAATTATTGGTACGGTAGAAATGTACACAATGGAACACATTATCATTTCCAAAAGCTTGCTGATCGTTTCGAATCACAGGGTTCATTAAGGCTCTAATTCTCCTCTGTGTTTGCTTTGGGTTTAGACTTGACGAAGATTAGGCGGCTAATTTCAATTCCAGCTCAAGCAGCTTTTGTTCATACTACACGCAGCCGCTTGGAGTGATGTTCTTTAGGGTCACACCGTAATCTTTTGAGAGCCCGCGACCGTCTATGCCGCGGTCGACGGTCTAAAGTGCACAGATGGAAGTCGATGATCAAAGCTCGCTCGAGCTCAGCATTCCACAGAATGTTGTCCGGACGAAGATCCTGATGAACGACGCCGCAACGACGGATCTCCTTCATCGACCGAGAAATCGCATCCTCCATGGTCTTGTCTAAAGTGCCATGGCCCACGGTCTCACCACCCCAGCCCATGAGAAGCATATGACGAATCCTTCCCGCGCCGTGGAGGAAGTAAGTTTTGGCCAAATTGATCGCGCCAAGAAAGACGGGAACGGCCGATCCTTGGGCACGTAAAAGGACCCTGTAGATGTCGACTTCGGGCGAGACCTCCCCCCAGAGTCTCGACGTTGTTCCCTTCCCGACAACTGTATATCCAAAGGTAGCACACGTAACCTTAAATGGTGCGCCGGAGGACCCACAAGGGCCGATGGGAGTGCAGTTGTGATCCAGATCTAGATCAAGCTGCGCCTTGAGGTTTTTCACCAGGTCAGCTGCACCGATCGGATGGCGGTTCACCGTTCCTCCAAGTATATGCAGCTTCATGTTGGGGCAGCCAGGGTCAAGTGTGCCTCTTTGCTGTAGCCCCAGAAGACACTTTTGTGTGCAATATGGCGCATCATGGGAGCGAGATTGCCCGTTTTGGTTCCCTTGGCGATTTGATCGCGGGGCGGACCGTTGGGTTGGAGGGGATGATTTTACCTGGCTATACCCCCGTTTCCGTCCTGCGGATGCGGTAGGGTCGGCCTCGGGATCCGAAGAACTCTCGTGGTGGTGGGGACCGGATAGCGGTGCGCAGCTGGCGGCCGCTCGGGTGGTCACTCGAGGGCCGCTGGTTATGGGAGACGAGGATGTGAGGTACTCGGAGGTTGACTGCTCAGGACTTGTGATCTCCGAGTTTGCATCAGCGACTCTAAGGCCCCGTGGTAATTCCAGTACTGAGATCGGAGCACGATCGCTATCAAGGATCGAATGCCATTTTGGTAAGTTGTCTTTGGCGGCATTTCGCCACGCCTGGTCTCGAAGAGGGGCACCAAAACTCATCAGACAGAGGCAAAGGGCCCTCTCAACTCGAGTCCTCGGAGCTCCAAGACCGGAAACACCCGCCATTCCGTATGTACTAGGATCGCCCAGGTGGTAATAGAGAGTAGTTGGGTCGTCGTAGGGCACCCAGAGCTGCACGTCCATCAGGCCGTTCGTCAAATACGAATACTCCAAACCCTCTTGAATCATTACGTGGAATTCTTGTACGATGGTTGATCCGACCAGCAACTCGGCGCGATATCTTGATTTCTCTGGCTCTTCCGTCGGCACACGATCAGGTTGGACAACTTCACGCCAGAACTCCATCGGCCTAAGTCCCCTCCGCAGGCTGGCCACAGAGAGCTTGTGGGGGGGTTTGTATTCGACCGTGGTGAGCAGAGTACTCCTGTTGCCATCCATTCGATGAATGCAAAATTGATCTGGCTTCGAAGGTCTGGAGGTTGATGGCAGACTAGCATCGGCTTCATCATCTTTATCCAGAGCATTAGCGTGATTATCGAACCGCACTCCGTTGCCTAACCGAAACTCTTCGCGAGCTTCGGGTATCTTACACAACTCGGCAACTATGTCGTGCACATGGTCTTCGACAGCGAGTCGCTCATAGGTTTCGAGGTCTTGTTCGCTGCTGATCAGCCGGCGTGCGAATCGTCGACCATGATCTTCTAACACAACAAGTGGTGTGAATAAGTGCGGTGCATCTTCTCCGGCCGGTTGTAGGTAACGGCAGACAGATCTATAAATTTCCCGCTGCCTGGCCTCGCATCCAGTCCACGGAAGCAGTCTTACAGGACAGTCTTTCCCGATGGGGGCAGAGATTCTGCCTGTCGTGGAGCGAGACGGTGTTTGGGCTCGGAGCGGCGTCCAAAGGAGATCATGGCAATGACGGATAAACTCTGGAAATGTTGTCAGTCGGTTGCGTTCCTCTGCCTGCCGTCTCAGCTCGGCTTCCTTGAGAAAAAGCGCCTTGTAGTCTGGTGAGCTGCTTCCACTCATTACAATGAATCAGAGAGGGCGGACAACCCCGACGCGACGGTAGGGTAAGACTATCCTCCCTGTCGTCACTGTCAGCGGGGCGGCATCTCGGTGAAAATATTTATCCGTCCCGAGAAAGTCCCCTTGGAAATACACGTGATACACGTGATTACGATCAGCACAGTCAAGAACGTCGGGAAGATGGAGTAGGTGCTGGACCAGAGGTCCCACTACCAGAAGACATGATGATGAGGGGACAAAGTTTATTGGGTACCTAGTGAGGATATTTACTTTTTGCCGAAGTAAAGTATGTAAAGTGACGTGGAGTGGGGTGAGTAGGAAGAGAGGAAGAATGAGAGAGAGAGAGAAGATTCACATACACTTGAGGGTTGGGGCAAACGAAAATTCGAGGCTTGCTGACAGCCATGGCGAGAATTTGGTCACCATCTGAATTTTCACACGCTACTGCATTATTCATGCAAACCTATATAAACCGCAGCATGTTTCATGGCTGCGTTGTCTCATGTGTAGTTTTATTATATTATATGACCACACACCGTCCGACTCATCTCGATGGACGAGATACACTCTAATTTAACCAAATTCACCACTGTATAGCCTTTCAGTGGTAGATCTGAACATCTCTAGGTGGCACTTTCCCTGAAATAAAATGTATGACTTCCATGTTGGTATGGCTAGCACCTTCCCTATTATAGTACATGCCTTGGAGTGTCCATAGAGTAGCTTTTTACAACTCCCAGACACTATTCCCTCCAAACATTCATTCCACTCAATGATGAAGGTCACAACCTCCTTTACAGACTTCACGCAACGGTCACGGTGATGCTTGGACAAGCCCTACACAACAAATCGAAATCCGGTCCCATCTCCTCCTGGATCGAAGTCATGGAGCGAACCCCAGATGTGGGTTGGATGATTTTGGCCGCCGTCATCGTCTACAAGATTGTAGACTTGTTTTTGCGCATGGCTTGGGAGCACTGGAGGTAAACATGGTCCATACTATTGACTGGCGTATAGCTAATGATAGGTTGATGCCTTTTGCAGCAAGGAGTGCCTCGCTAAGGGGCATTTTTTCCCTCGCTTTTCGTGTGGGGGATGCTTTTCTGGTTTCCGTTGCGACTGACCAGGTCGGATTGGGGCAGATGCCCCAACTGTTTCAACATCCGGTGCCCTTTGGGCTGCTTCTCTGGGTGCCGCTGTCCCAGGTCACTTCTAGAGCCTCAAGCCGGTCCCGAGGCCTCGACGACGACGACGATTCAGAGGCACAGGACAGAGCCGTAGCACCGTTCCGTTCTCTGCACTAGTGAAATGGAACGAAATTCCATCATGACCCCAGACGAGAAGGACGAAATTGAAGGAGGTTTCGGGACGACACTGCATCTCTCTTCGTCGCCATATTTAAAAAGCATCAAAAAGCCAGATGTCCTTATTGATCCTTTCGACGACCTAGATTTACCATCTGTTGTGTCTGATATTGGCGGCGATCCTTCCCATTCGGTTTGGCGAAACCCTGTTTCGCCTCGAGCAATATTACCGGTAAGAGTATATGGGGCCCATTTTATATATGGGTCTGTGCATACTTTGTGAGTAGAGGTCAAGAGACTGATCAATTGATTTTTTTCATGCAGAGAACAGTACATCGCCAAGGGCAAGCTTTGTCCGGACTGGTGCCGTGCCTGTGTGGCTTGGAGCCGGTGTTGCGGTCGCTCGTCTAGCCAAAACGCAACGGACAACACAGGCAACGGAGCCGATACCAATAGTCATCATGGTGAGGCCATTGAGATGAATACCCTGCATGGCAGGGCTTATGACCCCCCTCCTCGGATGACTTATAATTACTTGGCGCAGTCCCATTCAGGTAAGTCAATTTAGATGAAGAACACCGAGTCCCCGGGATCGACCAAAACTCTGCCCAGCCATGTACCTTCCAAGGTTATGAGAAATTTTCGATACCAACAATATCATTGTCTTCCCCGACACCTTGAACACCACTCTTGTCTATTCCACGCCTCATTTTCATCTGTCAAACTCTCGTCTGGGATGAAAGTTACTAACATGCGAGACACAGCCCCCTTTTGATTTGAACGTTTCGTCATGCGTTCTTGTTCGTGACAAAAAATAAAAAACCCCATATCATTGCTTGTTTGCTAGTTTGCTTCGCCTGCTATAAAGCATATTCTCTGACCTTGCTCTTCTTCTTCTTCTTCTTCTTTCTCTCTAGCTTTAATGTTTTAGTCTTTTGGATCCTTCTTCCTCTCCTCTCTCAGTAGAGCACAGGAGGATTTGCCTTCGTGACACTACGTTAAAGCTCCTCTTTGCAAAAGCCCTACATATGAGAATCAGTTATCCTTGCCGCTTGGTCAGATACACCTGACGTTCTCAACACTGGCAGAACCCTTACGAACCTCCAGAACCCTTCCAGAACTGAAACCAGAATCCCCTATCGAAATGGACCCTCTTGATCAGTTACGCGATGAGTTAACCGCGCAGTTCTCTCAGACCATTCAAAACCTCACCACTGAGATCCAGAATCTACGCATTCGCGTTGAAGCCGCCGAGGCGAAGCCACCTTACGAACCTCCCAAACCCATTACCAAACGACCGAAACCCTCACTTCCGGATCCAGACAAATTTACCGGAATTACGCATAATTTTGACACCTGGAACACTGTCATTCGTGCAAAGCTAGCTATCGATGGAGCTGCTATCGGAGATTCACTTGCTCAATTTTACTATGTTTACATGAGCCTCACAAGCCAAGTTCAAGCTATGGTCTTTCCTCAGATTGTCGCAGCACGTGAATCCGGAGAATACAACTTTGAAACGATTCTGGATCAACTCACACGTGTTTACGACAATCCGAATAAGGTTCATGAAGCAGAGGATCGTTTGCTATCAATTCAACAAGACTCTTCCGACTCCGTCATTGCATACATCCTCCGTTTTGAACATCTGCTGTACGAAGCAAAAGGTCAACATTGGTCGGATGCTACAAAGATCTCCATTCTACGCAAAGGATTAGCATCGTCGCTCCGAAACCGTCTTTCTCAACAACTCAATCTTCCCCGGGATTACATTGAATTCGTCAAGGTTATTCAACAGCTTGCTACGCATACCCAGACTAGCAATCCTGGTCATGATGGAGCCGATAAAATGGATCCCTCTTTTGGCGCCATCACCGCCAGCCCTAACACTGATTTGGTTGCTTTGGAAGACTGTGATCCTGAGAATTCTGACGATGCAAATTGACTAGATTTTGACGGAAATTTAGCATCAAGAGGCTGATGTTTATGTTTGCCGGGGGGAAGTGTCATGCATCAAATGCCATATGTTTTCTTGCTTGCTCGTTTGCTTCTGCTACAAAGCATGCTCCCTGCCTTTGCTCTTCGTCTTCTTCTTTCTTTCAAGCTTTAATGTCTCGGTCTTTTGGACCCTTCTTCCTCTCTTCCCTCAGTAGAGCAAAGTAGGATTTGCCTTCGTGACAAGGAGTAATAAGATTTAAGAAGAATCATAGAGTACGGCTGAAGTGAAGAACGACCGATTGTTGGGCAGTGAACTTGTGATGAAAGTGAGGCGTGATAAGAATTGTGAATATTCATAGAATATTGGAGTGAAGGCTCAAAAGAATGAAGGTTGCTGGAATTTTCTTTTTTTTTTTCTCGATGTCCTGAATCATTAAACATTCATTTTACATAGCCCTCTAATTTATGAGGATAATTTCAATGTATGGTGTAGCCTTCTCCTGACCATAAATATCAGACAGTTCTCGAGATACCCAAGACCTTATGGCCTAGTAGTTTCAAGCATGAGTATATCCATGGGGAGTGTATCCAAACGTGTGGGATTGTCCCCGAGATACCTCTTCCGGGTCGAGAAGCCGTTGCTCAGTCAAGGGATACTCCGTACTCGTAGTGAATTTTGGTGGCTCGTACATATCATCACTCTTGGGAAAGTACCAAAAGTTAGAAATGACCATGATGACCAACATCAATCCAACGTCCAAGAGATAGGTAGGCCATTCCACCTTGGATAGATATGCGTCTGTTCCAGTCGCGTATTCCACCAAGCGATAAACATTCCGAACGGTAATCAGGAAACTGCAGAGATAAAGATTCCAAAGCCTGATTATCAAATTCACACCTGAAAGCACGGCTTTCTCTCCAGACCTGGAATTGAGTCTGATGTGGAAAACAACAGCAACCAGGAAAAAGACAGCGAAGAAGAATAACTGGAGCGCGAGACCAGCTAGAATGATGCCCTTGGCTAGATTCAACTTCGATTCAGACTCAGCACGGAGTAAGATCACGACACCGATTGCTTGAAAGAAGAAGCAGAAGATGTCGCCGACAACGAAAATAGGCGTAACCCATTTGATGCGGATGAAGGATAGTTCGGGATGGCCTGATTTACGGATCACACGACCGAGGAACATGTAGACTGAAGCGGCGAAGAGAATGGGAGCGAGAAAGATGAGAAGAGTCTGAATCTCGAATGGTGTTTCTTTTTCGAGATGTTTGCTTGAGTAGGCTCGCGCAAGCAGGCCGACAGCTTCGACTGTAGAACGAGAGTCAGGTCAGTTTGAGGAGGCATGGTGGACCTTAGAAAGAGGGGTCTTACAGGCGGCAGCAATGAGGACCACAATGCCGAACCATTGGTGTGTCAATATAATTCTCCAAATTTGGACAACGGCGGCGAGACAGAAAAGGATTGCGACTACAAACGCCGCGGCAGTGGAGGGTTTGTAGAATGTGTAGTAGGGGTTCGAATCATCATGAGCTGAAGACATTGTGAAGAAACCAAAATTAAGTATCCAGACTGGTGTTTGAAGCTTCAACTGTCGTCAATGGAAAGAATAGTCATTATTTCCCGGGGCATCACTCCCTTTTTAAATGATTAACCGTCCTCATCAATTTCCTCATCAACAGATCAACCAAGTATTTTTAGGCCGCAAAGCATCCACTCGGCTATGCCGATGCAGCATCATCTAGGGCTGATGGAACATGAAGCTAATTTTCATGCGTGGAGATTGGCTGTTAAGTCAGGATCGCCAGGTGATACGAGCAGCCTTCTAGGAGAGATAATCTCGATTTTCTATGCCCCTCTTACAGTGGAGAGCCTGGATATGGAATGGACAGCGAAGACCAGTGAGAGATCAAGCTAAGCAACACCAAGGCATAAGGCTGGCTGTTGCTTACTGCCGGTGTTTCTGCAGTGGACGTGAAGTGATCGACATTCACTCAGCCTCTCCAACGGGGCTAACCTATTCGAGGGCTTTGCTGCGACGGCCATTTGATTGGCCCTTTGGCTCGTATGGACCCACCAAAACGGACCTACTTACAACGTAGTGAGGCTCATTGCGCTTCAAGGCTCACTGGGGCCGAAACTGTTTCCCCTCTATTACTCCCTCCGCAAACTACACGAGACTGTTCGTGGTGTCATCTCTGATTCTGCATCGCCAGACACAATCCGATTCATCATACACTTCTCGACTATTCCGGTTTGTCCAAATCCACTTCCCAAGGACTTACAAATAGTATAATTTAGCATGAATACATGAAGCATTCAATGAACAGCACCTTGACTGGAATGATCTATAACTTTCATGCTGCGGCTGTTCTGGTCGTACCTTCCTAGTTTCGCACCTGCCTTCCCCTGTGCCGTAGTCGAGGATAGGCGAATTCCCCTCACCTCGTAGAGACATTACCTTTCAAAAAATTTCACACTGTGACCGAAAATGATCAACCAGCTCTTTTTCGTCTTGTGCCTCCTTTTTTCCTCCGTCTGTAAGTCCCGATTTCCATGATTTCCTGTCCAACTGGTTGCTCACATGCAATCTGGAACAGTCTAAACATTATCTTGGTGTTTGGGAAATACAGATAATTCATTGAATATTTCGTGGTATAACAGCAACGATCTGGAAACCACAACGAGCCGCTCTCTATCGAATAATGCCAAACGACCAGCATGAGTGTTTCTGTGGAGTTTTTGCCAACAGTCTATCCAGACGTCTGTCGCAGATGAATCTATCGATCTGCACCCATGGTTGGATGGCCTCGAACTCAGGACGTATACAAGGAAGATCCACAGGCAAAGAACCAGACTATTCCTTTCGGCCAGGACCCATTCCTATCTCCGGCCCTTTGCCAGCACCGTCCCTTATTTTAGAGGTCGGTGTCTCAGAAACGTACTCACACTTACTTGGAGACATCCAGTGGTGGTCTACAAACGCCCCAGTTCGACCTGGAATAGTTGTTATTATACATGCAATTCTGTTCAAGGTTTCCACCAACTTCATTGAACACTCCGCTCATTGCGTTCTGCGCTTTCGACAGGTTCCGAGCCCCTGCACTTCTTCTTGGGCAAAAAGAACTCTCTCTTTACCGGTCGGCGCATACATAGTATGGAGGATTGTGGAAATGGTGTTGCGGATGATATGGGCCTGGTGCCTCAACTCTAGGTGGACTCGTCCTGATAAAGCTCCCTGGTGACAATCGACGGCACATTTTTGGTTGGACATGTTTCCATTGCCTATGGCCACCAGAGCAACATCGAGCCGAATTCTCTGGCATCCAAGGTGCAGCTCAAGGTACGTCCTCTTTGCATATAAATATACGAGATTCCATACTGACTGTTTGGCATGTAGTTCTTGATCACTGGGTGTTTCATCATGTGCCATTCAATGACAGACAAGCTGAACGGCTCCTGCGAGTTGACCATCCGTTTACATTGGATTTACGAAAAACGATGGCGCTCATCCATTTTTAGCCCTCGAGGCCCTCCAGCCCGCCCTCCACGCAGGAAGACGCGATCCGGTATTTGCAGACTCTCTCGGCTACTGATTTTGCCGAGCTCCTGCAAAGAGTGCCTGGAAAAGGGTCGTTTTTACCCCATCGCAATTCATTGAAAACTGACTTACTGCCAATCTTCAGTGACATAATTGACTGAAAACAATGGCAAACATGCCAAGATCAGCACTGCCAAGGCAGAAGACCACCCTGCATAGCTTCTGGCGACGCAGCGGTGCCGCAAACCCGCAAGTGCCTGATGTGCCCGCGGCAAGCAACAATGACTCGCCAGTTCAATTACCGCGAATGCTTGACTTGTGAGTCATCATCCACTTTTTCTTATGTCATTGACTCAGCTAATATATATATATGGTCTTAGCCCCCAATTCCCGTCATCGTTAAAACCGATATCCCACCCGATTATTGTTTTTGTCCAATCTCTTGGTTGAAGTTGATCCCTGGAGACAAACCAGCTCCGTCTCTCGTCCTAGAAGTTGATGTATCAAAATCGCATGCCCAGCTTATCCAAGATGCATGTTGGTGGAATGCAAGCCCTTCCATCAAGCCCGGTCTCATTGTGCTTATTCACGTCAAGAAGAGTCCTGTGTATAGAATGGATATAGAAATTTGGGAGAAAACACGACACCAAAATAGCTACAATACAAGAAATCCCCTTTCTAATCCCTTTCGACTGGGACTTTTTCAACATCTCTATATTGAGAGCGGTATTGTTTATGGTGGACCTTTGCGTCTAGACTTTGGTCATAGAGGGGGCTTTGTCACGATAGCAAAAGAATATCCAATAGTCTAACGAGTAGATCCATGCTAATTTTGCTGTGATCATGCGTACCCTAAGGCAATCTCCAAGTCTGACACTGCCACTGCAAGATTTCCCTATCCGCACCTACTTTACTTGAAGCAATAGTTTCAAACTCCATCACCTAGCAACGAAAAACGTCCTCGATAGTTGTTGTATCTAACACCCATCTGACAAAAAATGTCCCCTCAATTCGATGCTCCCTCTATCGCGGTTGCCTCCCTCCATGATCCCACCCACTTCGGCATCCCGCTCTCCCAGACCGAGCACCGCCTGGCGCTCCTGGAACATTGGAACATCCTCCCTGGCTCCAAGGTACTGGAATTAGGATGCGGACAGGGCGACTGCACAATTGTCCTTGCCCATGCTGTCGGCGAGCAGGGGAAAGTGGTGGCGGTCGATCCGGCGGATTTGGAGTATGGTGAGTCACCCAGCCTTTCTGAGCCTGCTGCCTGCTCGGGGAATACAAGGAAAAAGCAGCCGACTGATAACCCACTACAGGTGCCCCGTATACTCTCGGTCAAGCCCAGGGTCACATCTCAGAGGGCCCACTAGGAGGGCAGATTACTTGGGTTCAACAAAACCCTCTGAGCTACCTCTCCTCACTTTCCTCTGACTACGGCGCTTCGCCCCCATCGTCACCCGATAGCGAAGATAAGGCCTTTGACGCTGCAGTACTCGCCCATTGCCTATGGTACTTCGCCTCCCCCTCCATCATTCTTGCCACTTTCCGGGCCCTCAAGCAACATAGCAAGCGTCTCCTCCTTGCTGAGTGGTCGTTGGTAGCGACAGACCCCTCCGCCCAGCCCCACGTATTAGCTGCACTCACCCAGGCCGCATTGGAGTGCCATAAGCGCAACAGCGACTCGAACATCCGCACGGTTCTGGGGCCAAGGAAACTTACTGAGTTGGCCCTGGCTGCCGGGTGGCAGCTGGAGAGTGAGAGCCTCGTGCAAACTGGGGAGGGGCTGTTAGACGGACAATGGGAAGTCTCCGCTTGCCTTTCTCCCTCTTTTGAAAGAGAAGTAGAAGACCAAGTGGGCGATGAGAGGGAGCGGGCGGTGGTTATTGCATTGCGGGATGCATGTGATGCGAGCTTGAAGGGTGTACAGGGAGGTCAGAAAGGGGTTAGGGCCATGGATGTTTGGGTTGCTAATTTTATTTGATTGGAAGGGCTGAGTGTGCTTTAGTCTGCAGTCAAGCTAGCTACCCAGTAGAGAGAGACGGGCGCGATGGCATTCTGGCGGCGCAGACAGAACAGATAGGTCTGAAGACGGGCATGGGCAGGCGGAGAGGGCTCATGACTAACTTTTTGCCCATACATGAAAACGAAGATGTCTGATGATGCCCGAGCAAATTTTAGGATGCCCGAGGACGCGTGTGAGTGCCTGCGTGTGCCTGACTTTGGACTCACTGCCACCACACAAGATATAGTGATTGAAGTATCCTTCTCCAAATGAAGTTTCGCGCTTTCGGCCCAACCACTCTTGCGAGCTCATCACTACCTCTTTGTTAAGCTAAGCTTGAACAGACGCTATAGGGATCATATTGCGACCCTAGCCCCTGAAGCTATCCAAATTGACATTTTTTGCCCGGCTTTGAATAGTTTCACTATCGTCCAGTGCAGATTACAATCTTAGGGATGAAGCGGTGCCTGGAGCAATTTAACTAGAATTGGGATTAGACCAGATTCCAAGGTACACATTGGGCCCTTGGGTTCTACGCTTTCGTACCTGACTAGTGACGCAGTCTATGCGCCGTATAGGGATCTCGCACTAGGTAGACTACTCCGTACCGTAATAGACAGCTGAATACAGAGCTCCAGGGCTAAGTCCACAGGTTATATAATCACTACATGGATCCATCGTCGGGACCGAAAGTTGAACCGCGGAAGGAACTTTGAGCCAAATTTTAGAAGGCCCCATCGGGTGTCGGGTGCCGACCCTAGATAGAAGACTTCCTGAAGTCTTTCTCCTGCCCTCTTATTCTTTCTTTCGACTCTTAACATTCATATCAATGGCGTCCCCTTCTTCTCGCTCCACAATTCATTCACCAAAAGATGGTGTACGAAACGATTCTATCAAAACTGAACAGGAATTAGTCAGATCCGGCGATATTTATGCCCTCCAACAATTCCGATGGGACCAATATGAGAAGGATAGGAGGAAAATGAGATGGCAAGATGCTTCGTTTGACCTTCTCGACACGGAGTATGAGCTCCGAGAGATTTTCCACGAAGAGCTATCTATCAAAGAAAGCAACGAGTCCGATTCAACCGCGTCAGAGAGACTTCGATGTTTGAATGACCAATATCAAATCTTGTCCCTACAGTGGTGGTTTCATCGGACTAACATTGATGGTGTTCAATGGCGGGCATTTAAACTGTGGCGATCACACCCCCAGTGGTATATGCACAGTGAGCTGGTTAAGGACTGTGTCGGTCGGCAAGGATGCTGTGCTCGTGGATGCGGTTGCTGCTTGAACCGCAACATCGACTCTTCGCGCCATTTGAGCGTGGGCCATTGTACACTGGAATGCGGATGCTGCGCCAGGAATCGCGGGTTTGAAATGTCTGAAGCAGAGAAAACCGACTTGAAAAATCTCTATAAGTCGCAATGGAAAGACGGACGCAATATCCGCTCGTTGTGGATCCGTCGAGTGTCAATTTGGGGGTTGTCTGACATGAGGGGAAGAAATCCTTTTGACATGATCGACGCACCCCCAAGTTATGAACAGAGTGAAAGAAGGGCAAATGCTAGGGCGGGTTAAACGGTGTTTCTTTGGTTCTTAAAGTTTAGTATTGTTTGTTTCTATGACTGTTGCTATTGCTATCATGTGAATGACCCTGACACCCGTGGACGTTTATGATGTTTTGATGGAACTGGATTGAAGAACAGCCGGTTTTCATACTTAAGTATTAGATATATTCTTCAGTTGCCCACACAGCTGTTCTGTCCAGCGGTTTTTTATCATGTACTGCAGACCCAGAGGTTTCAAAGGAGCCTTAGAACAATCTGGCACATTGCTCACCTTACACCTCCACATGTCTCTCACTCTGCGTCTCTGAGATTTGGGGTGCTCCCTCCTTCAATAAATTATTTACCTATGGGTTGAGAGGGAAGGTTTGCCCCATCTAGACCTTAATAGGTTGCTCCCTACCTCCCCATCTATTGTGATGATCATGGCTAGACCCGAATAAGAAACAGGCGCTTCCACTGAGGTCAGGGAGCAGCAGTCAAACATATGAGGTCACCGCGGGGTATTTGATATGTAGGTTCGACGTGAAGAGGCGGATTCCGCTCTCGCGTTTGTATAGAGGATGCTTTGGCGGGGAGACTAGCTCTCCATTCTAGTTCTTCTTGCTGATCAGAACCCCATAGTACTGCAATTTGATGGGATTTTTGCCTGCACATCACATCTATCTCATTCCTCTCTCTCTCTCTCTCTCTCTCTCTCTCTCTCTTCCAGAATAGTAAATCGATCACTTTGGTCCGTCATCCCTTCTCGTCCTGTGCATCCATGGTCACTACTGGTTATGTTAAAAGGTATTCCAGACATAGGAAATGACATCAAGTCACACAATAGAAAGCGGGACACCGAGCGTATGGAAGGCATAGACCAAATGAGAGATGTCGTGAACATCAGTTATGGCTCACGCAGCAGAATTTAGAACCTGTCGAGAGCCCAAAACGCAATGAACGGAGTTGTATTGCTTCTGCCAGACTGAGACTGGGGAGAGAGCACAAACACACATCTATCTACACCTGGCACTCTGAACCCGGGAATCGCACCTAGTGATCTCTCAACACCCTCCCTCAGACCCGCCACCGCACTAGCCCCCAAGGACACAGATGCTCATCTTCAAACCCCTTCCAATAAATCCAACTTGCCCAGTTGCATCATAACTTGATAAAAAGTCCTGGATCCCACGCAAATGTCAAATCTGCCTCAACTCCATCCACTCCATGAATCCCGGCCGTATAGACACCATACACATCGTGGTTGGTTGTAGTATCGGTGATATTCGTAGGCTTTGATTGATGTGGTCGACCGTCTTCACGAGGATGTCCGTTGATGCTGCTGCCGCCTTTCGCAGTCGACATGCTAGTGTGTTGCGATGACGTCAGAATTAGATCTCGCCTTTGGGATCTCCCACTCCCGTAGATGTTGTTGTTAGCGAAGTCAGGCTTCATCGTTGACCTTCCGTTTTGCGGGTTGGGTTGTTGTGGGGTCAATGTTTAGTGGGCTATCTGCCTCGGTTCCAGGGTTGGCGATGTCGGAGTTGGACTTGATCCTCTACTCCCGTTTTTGGTTGATCAGGGTGAGAAGGGGGGGGGGGGGGCGCAAACACGCAGGTATTTACACCTGGGGGTCTGAACTTGGGGATCACCCCCGTGATCTCTCAAAATCTCTCAGCAAAGCCGTATGAAGATTTTATCATGACCACAGATGGGCACGTGGAGCTGAGTTGAGGTTTTTTCGTGTGGAGCCGAAAGCTTCCAGCCAGGTCAGAACTTGCCTTAGCCGGATACAGAACAAATGTTGAAGCTGATATAGAGAGTACCGCTCTTTGATTGTTCAGATTGCGGTCACTGGTCGTCAGCAGGAATTGGCGGTGCCGTAAGGAGTAGACCAGCGTATGATAAAAGGATAGCCGCACAGAACGAACCATTCTTATAACATCGCATTCACGGTTCTTGGGTTGAACAATGCAGAGAAGTGAATCACTGAGGATGCAGTGCTTCGATGAAGCTGGTGGAAACCTTGAACGTGATTTCGAGGAGCATCCGGTTTTATCTGAGCAACAACATCGGTGTGTATGTGCGAGGCTGCGCGATGATCCAGTTGATTGAACTTCCCAGGTGTTCAGGAAGTCAAACAAGATCTCCTGCTTGTGTGGGTGTGTCCAGCTCTCTTCTTGCCTCCCTTGCTCTCCATCTTTCCCCCTGAAGACACAGAACGCAACCTATAGACACAGAGCGCAACCTATAGACACAGAACGCAACCTATAGACACAGAACGCAACCTATAGACACAGAACGCAACCTATAAATATAGAAATAAAAGATAAACAGCAACAACAGAAATGTAAACCCACTATAAATAGGGTAAGTATAAGGATCAATAGCAAAAGGCAAGAGCTGGGGGCGTGGTTTTTTTTTTTTTTTTTTTTTTTGGTTTTGGGTTCTTAACAGCAAGAAGCAAGAGCTGGGGGGCGTGATTTTTTTTTCGGTTTTCGGTTTTTGTGACGAACCAGAACGCACGACAAACGTTCAAATCAAAAGAAGGCTGTGTTTTGCATGTCAGTAACTGTCATTTCAGATGAGAGTTTGGCAAGCGAAAATGAAGCTCGGAATAGACAACAGTGGTGTTCAAGATGGTTTCGGGGAAGACAAGGAGATTGGTGTTGGTGTCAAACATTTCCAAAAAGGTATATGGCTGAGCCTCTGAATCCTCCTTGATCTCAAGGTCTCTGTGTTCTCTGTCTAATTGGACTTACCTGAAGTAGACCTCGCCAGGGTGCGTCTAAAAATCAGCGGCTCCGGGGACTGATAGGGGCTATAAAGCTCCCTATCAAGTCCCCCATCCTCCACGACGCTCTCCACGGAATATGGGAGGAAGGCTGTTGGATCGAGAGCCCCGGGGATTTCGTCACCGGTGGTTTCTGTAGAGGGGAGCAAAGCTGGTGGATCAGGGGCCCCAGCGGTCTGCGGACGGAGGAGGAGGAAGGCCATCTCAATGTCTTCATTCGAGTCTGCTTCGCTTGGCAGACGTCGAAAACCCTTGCGCCGGCTTCGCCAGCTAGAGCAACAGCTCCCCAGGAGCCCCCAAACAGAACCCAGGCATGTCGAGCAACAAAGAGGCAAAAGCCTCCCCTTGGCGATTACATTATCCCTGTATAAAAAAATCAATTGATCAGCCTCTAGAGCTATACTCACGAAGTCTGCACAGGCCCATATATAAAATGGGCCCTATATACTCCTTACTGGTACTATTTCTCAAAGAGGCGAAACACGGTTTCGCCGAACCGAATTGCGAGAATCGCCGCTACAATGATACAGAGCAACCATGGCGCCTTATTGAGGACTTCTATCCATGATGTCACTGCATCTGGCTTGGGGTCAGCCCCAGGGATTGTTGGTACAATCGCCGGGGCAGGAAATGGCATCGCCGCTGAGCCTAAGCGTTAGTAATTCATTCAGCTATATATCTTTATCATCCCTGTAGAGGGAGACATAAAAACGAGGGCTGGGGTAGGCGATAGAGCGGATGCAGGCCCTCAGATTCCTCTGGGATTTCGCAGCCACTTGAGCAGTGCTTTTCAGGATACCATGGCTAGCTGATGCAAAGCGTCGTAGCATGAGTGCTGGAAATATCCCAGATTCCTCAGCCAGTTTTGCTTGACATGCCATTGTTGGCCAATGCAGGGCTTCACAGGATGTATGTTCGACTTCAGGAAGTGTCACATATGCCTCAGCCAGTGCGGTTCAAGATACCACAGCTAGTGGGTACAGGGCGTCGTGACATAGATGTTGGAGATTCCTCCAGCATAAATGTCACAAATGCCTCAGATGCTCCAGCCAGTGCTTCTCGAGATACCATTGTTGGTTGATGCAGGGTTTCACAGGATTTATGTTCGACTTCAGGAAGCGTCGCGGATGCCTCAGCCAGTGCTGGTCAAGATACCATTGTTGGTCGATGCAAGGCTTCACAGGATGTGCCCTGGAGGTGTCTTTGGGCATTCTTTCTGGAACCCTATGGCTCTGGTGTGAACGATACCACGCAGTGTATTTTGTGGAATGACCTGGTTGAGAGGATGGCAGCATGAGTTGGGTAGGGGGGGGGGGATCAATGGACGCTTCGCAGGCGGGCTCATGGGCTGTACGAGCGACCATCTCGACAGGAAATCATGGAAATCAGGACTTACAAACGAGAGAGGAAATTAGGAGAATCAGAATGAACTTGGTCAGCATTTTGTTGTTATTCTTCGATTTTTTCAAAGGTAATGTCTCTACGAGCTGAGGGGAATTCGCTTATCCTCGACTACGGCACAGGGGAAGGCAGGTGCGAAACTAGGAAGGTACGACCAGAGCAGCCCCACCATCATGAAGACTGTAGATCATTCCAGTTAAGTTGTTGTTCATTGAATGCTTCATGTAAGTAGTAATGCTAGATTACACTAACTGTAAATCTTTGTGAAGTGGATGTGGACAAACTGGAATAGTCGAGAAGTGTATGATGAATCGGATTGTGTCCGGCGATGCAGAGTCAGGCATAAGACCACGAAGAGTCTCACATGGTCTGCGAATGTGGCTGAGTGGGGTCTCGAAAGAAATCTAGCAGTGAGTTTCCTGTTATGATTGCCAGCAAGACTTGTAGTGTCGCTATCGTGACGAACCCAAAAGGGATTGATAGATCAGAGGATGTCACGTGATACTCAATCCCTCCCTGCCAAGGGCAGCCATGGAGGGCGAGCTACGTACTTGCTGCCTGGTCTTGCTGCCTGAAAGGTTAGAAATCGATTTTGCAGGGTTGGAAGCGTGGTGTTAATGTTGTGGTAGCCAGGTTTCAGTACCCTCCTACCTTGGTGAAGTATGGCAGACGACTTGACAGGACTGGTCTAGCGATATAAGCACCGTCTTTCTGATTGTTTTTAAGACTAACGCAAGTGGGTTCAATGAGTGATTTGTCACAAATGTTTCTCCACGCTATTAGGAGATACGGAAACGTCTCAAGGGCCGATCAGTCTGGAATTTCTAAAGTCGACAGCCTGCTGTGTTCGCTTTTGCTTCTCTACTTATGACAGTTCTGACAAGCCATGTTCGGGGGTGGGATGAAATATTGGTCTTTGCTTCTGTGGAATTGGAATAATTATATCTTACTTTATGCCAATATCAATCTTCTACACGATGGTATACATTTCATCATATTCTACAGCAGCGATAAAGAGGTTGGAAGCAGACTTTTACCAGTGAGAAATCACCAGTCGTATAATGCATCGGACATGAAGTATTTGCAACCTTTGACCAAGTCTAGATTCTCTCGCTAGGTAGCTCACTTGCTCAACGCCTCAGTACTAGGTTTTCGTATCCCATGACTGGGGGTTCTTCTAAAGTTTTGTTACGTCGAACTATCACTAGCCACTATATATGCCGTCTATTGTGCCAATAGTGGACTTTCAATGATGTTTATAAGTACCAGACCATGATCATTCTCCTAATGGGACTCTCCTTCTCGCCTACCATAGAACCCCTTGGATACCAAACATTTAAAAAACCAAATGCCTACATTCTGGCACACATTGAATCAAGTCCAATCAATCACCAGACACTATCAAATCCTCTAATTCTTTATCCCCAGGATTCCTTGCAATATCAACATCAATATCTGTTGCTTAAAGACGAAGGTTGGAGAGAAGATAATGACATTGTGTGTCAGCTAGCTAGCTAACTTTGGAATGATTAAGAGAGGAATTGTGACCCTGACAATATCTGTGTCCCTTCCAACCCTTTCCGGTCTGATAATATCGACTAGAAATTGTTCGGAATACAAAGCAGGGAGCAGCAAAGATTGTTGGCGGAATAACGAAGCAAGTGGGGCGGGTGATTGTTGTGTAGGGAGTTCGTCCCAACCCAGGTTTGTGTTTGTGTAGATAAACCCTCTCTCCCGAGTCTCTCTCTTCTTCTTCCTCTCTCTCTCTCTCCCTGCAGTCAATCAATCGGTTCCAGTCCGCTTCTTCTTCTGTCCTGTAGGCCCAATAGTGATGATGATCAGTAGTGTCGCTCTGCCATAAACAACAAGTCGTCGTTGGTGAACAATATGTCCGACTCAATTGGGAGATTCGACGGGCGCCTCATCAACGCGGCGAAATTCAACCTCAGGGGACCACCGTGCACGACATTGTTCTCAACTCGGACAAGCTGAGCAAGCGTCATCGGAGGAAGGGAGTCTCTTGTCCCGTGGTGACGCAAGGTTGTGGAGGGCGTCCAGACCTCAAAGTCTACCCTGAAGGGAGGTCCTCTTCTCACGCTCACAATAACGACGAGTCCCGGGCAAGTAGGGGCGTTTGCACCCCACCAACGTACGTCTTGCACGAGGCGATTGTAAGATTCCGACACGCCAACTTCCAAGACAAGGGAGGGACTTCGTGGGGAGCCGTTAACTAGAGGGCCAGGTCAGAATGCAAAGTCCGGCTCTTTGCTCGTGTTTTCGGCATAGACTCGAGTAGAACCTGCCAACATATAATCATGCCGACTGAAATCGATGTTGATTTGGGCCAACTTCAACACAAGTTCATATCTGAACTTCTCTATAATCACCACATGCTGGAGCTGAGGGATAGCTCGCTACAGGGCAGCGGTTCCTTCCCGCTAGAGGGTTGCAGTCACCCCCCGAAAGAGGTCGTCGTCCAGCCACAGACGTTCGAACAGTTCAGGATTGAGCTGTTTGCCCAACAAGTATGATGTCGCTGAACTGCCAGGTCCCGGGTGCCTTTTCTGATCTTTGACCTCTTGGATTGCTTTCGTCAATTCGTTTAAAGAAGGACTCAAAAGTGTGAGAGTGTCTGAGGGCTTCACGTTGACGGGGAAAGCTGAGTCGTCCGCTAGAGGCGCCTGAGGAGTTGTAGGGGAGCCAGGGCCTGGTGAGGTGAACGAGAAGCACGGCTGAGAATATTCGAAGGAGTTTGAGCCGGAGGCGGATGAAGACGTGAAACTTGTTGAGTTTGGCGCTGGAAACATCAGTGCCTGGTTCGAGTGAGGGATATGAAGGTGAATAAAAACATACCAGGTGGGCTTGGGTATTTGCCCTGAGCGTACACGGCCGGAGCATCCCCTCCTTCCATGTTTGAGTTTTCTCCTGTTGGGAAAGCGCTATTTCGAGTCTGAGATGGTGTACAAGAGTGAAACTCGAAAGGTGGCTTATCTCCGGAGGCGGACAACGATGGCCTCGAGTGTGGGGTGAGTAGGGTCAAGGCGCCCGTGAAGGGCGCCTGAGGGGGAGGAGTTGAGGCGCTTGTGAAGGGCACCTGAACGGTGGCGGAGGAGGAGGTAGAGCCAGAGGGGGAGATGGAGTCTGATGGGTTGGAGACAGAAAACATCAGCTACATGGTCAAGAGAGGAGGGTGTGGGCAAACGAGATCATACCAGGGCGGGCTTGGGTCTTTGCTTTGGGGTCGCGCTGCAAGAGCATCTCCTCCTTCCATGGTGAAGATTTCTCTTGGTGGGAGGGCACGCCTTCCTTTTGAGTCAGAGATATTAGGCAGACAAGAGTGAAATAATCCCAAGGTTCCAAGGTTGTTTTGCAAGTTGGATAACGATAGTCTTGATTGGGGATGAGAGGAGTGTCAGAGAAGAGCCTTAGAAGATATTGTGGGAGCCAAAGCGCCATGGCTACGCATTCACTATAAGCCTGCTGACAGGAGCCTACATCCGTGGATAGCTCCTGGCTTGATCTCAGGCTGTCTGTTTGCGTACGTGGCGGAGCGCCGATTTAACATCATAATCAGTCATGGATCAGCTGTTGATTTAAAGCGAGATGGCTCTCCATGGGAAGTCATGGACTGTATCGATTATGAGAATGAAGATGAGAATACCGTACGAGCTATCTGTACCAACGTCTCAGAAACCAGCCTTCGCCAGAGGATCCATCTAGGCAAAGGTGTTCCAGGTATGATCCTCTAAATGCCCAAAGCTTGTGGACCTAAGCGATATGCGGTCGCCAAAGCCTTCAATCTGTCTGCCAATCAAGGCCTTCCGGGACATCTTTCACAAGAAGACTTGGGACCCTCTCAGGTTTGTAACTTTTCGTACGGTTACGACTTCCGCTATGTTCCATGAGATTACGGAGATAGTTTGATTAGAATTGATTTCAGCAACAAACAGGGCTACTGAGATGTAGTTGTCAATCGACCCAGCGAGAAAAAGAACAAGTGCGATATATCCATATTTGACTAAAATCGGAAGTGATGGTTGGAGGGAGAATGGGGACAAGACTACTATCATCATGGAGCTTTCTCTCGCCGGGAGGTTCACAAGCGCTGATTTGCTTGGGACGTTCTCACATGGCTGTCAATGTGTTAGTGTCAATGAAAACTATTGAAGAACTGACTCACTTGGTTGATGAAATTGTGGAGGTTATCTTTATCGATCAGCAGTTTGGGCCCTGTCCTATTGGATCTGCACAGGCATAGACGAATGTCTGATCAATCGTCAATGCTTATATCCAGGTCAATACTATTTTTGGTCTGACTATAATAACCATACTGGAAGATGAGTTTGATTTAAAGAACTTAAATTCGTACTTCAAGAACAAGGGTGAGGTGATGGTCAAATTTGAACTCAATACTGTTATTTCTTTGATCTACAGCTCTAGAGATATCACGTTCTTTGACTTTGATAACTTCCCAGGTGCTATTTTCCCGGTTCTAGGCATACCTTTTAGGGTCCAAACTGTCGGTGATGCTTTGATTGGCTATCTTTTGTAAATGTTGGGATCGTTGGCCCTAACCTGGTTGTTTATGCTTCTTCCGATGTTGAGTTAGCCCTTTCTGGTTATCTGGAGACCGAAGTCAGCCCTCGCGACTTTGAACATGTCACTTGTAAGTCCATCTACATGTAGAACACCGATCGAGTACAATCTGGAACAAACATTCGATATCACATACTGACATGCGACACATAGGATGCGCACTGCCCCCTCTTCTCTTTTCCCTGACTGCCGTCCTCGTTTTTACTCCAGCAGCAGTTCGTTGGTCTGGTGCAGGCAAGGATTCTGGTAGAGGTTCTGCAGTTGTTGAGCTCGGTTCAGATTCTGATGGGTCCTTCGGCCAGAAGCCATGTTGGCATCACTCGCTCGTTGGTACCATGTACAGCCGCATTCACACAGTCTCTCAAGCTACCAAAATGAATTCCTCGCTTTGTTGTTCCGGGCCCATAATGAGCGTATTTTGCCGAATTCGTCATCAGATTCTTCGCTTCCAGTGGAATCACTGATTCCCCAATCAAACACCAACATGTATCTGTGATGAAATCCGCGCCGAATTGAACTAGTATATCAACAAAGCCTGCTCTAGCAGATTGCTCATATGCCTCTCTGTTCGTTGTAATCATCATTTGTGTCTGAGTACATCTTTGACGACCTTTGCAAAGTTCGGCGAGACGCGCAAACTCCTCGAATGCGAAATGAGGATTTCCCAATGACGCGACAGCTACCGAGTTATCGACGCCGGTATTGAGCTTTTCCCAACACATTCGGAGATCTTTTAAAGAGACACGAATGTGAGTTATGGAAGAAATCAGATGCTCAACTTCTGATGACTCCGGGGTAATGCCATGTATGTGGAACATCGGAGCTGCTGATGTTGTAGCAAATGCTGCTCCGAATGCTTTGAGCTCTGGTATGCCTGCTGAAGTGTTGTGCAGCCCCAATACAATCGGAATCTCTGCCCCTACCAGCTCCCCCACACGGTAGCCCAATAAGGGGAAAAGAGAGTCATCGAACTCGGTCAACTCATCAAAATCAATGCAGATTGTTGGCAAGCGACCATTCTTAGTGTGGGCATTGAAGTTCGGTGCTCGACCAGTGAGGGCAATGAAAACATCAAGATAATCCGGATATTTCTGGGTCTTCGCGCCAAGGACACTATTTGCGAAGACCACTGCATTTGATTCGGCCCATCCAATCTGGTCGCCGAATTCTGGGGCGGTTTCGAGCGTATACGGGGCACAGGTAAAGCTGGCTTTGGCTCCCATCTTGAGATAGGCGTCGCCTAATGCGGATGCGTTTGTTGATAACTCTGGGTCGCAACCAAGCTCTTTCCATCGTCGTCGGTCTGCGTTGAGCGAGTTCATGGTACTAGGAACAGCAACCCTTCCTCCTAGATCCAGGAGTCTCTGGGAGAAGAAAAGGCTTGTTGGTCCGACATAAACACAGGCGTCGATATGAGCCTGACAGATATCTATCAAGCCATCTGCTCCTTGGGCCTCTGAAAACCGAATGATCACTTTCATGGCAAGCCTTGCAGCTTCGCCCATTTTACCATTCAAGATATCTTTATCCTCAGGACTGAGAGGGAATGGTTTCCCATCGTTTTGTTTGGTAGAAAATGGAGAAAGAGGAATTTCCAAGGGTTGGTATCCAATCTGAAGATAGGAGTTTGTGATAGTAGCCGGTTGTCCATATATCTTTTGAAGTTGAAGAAACACCGATGAGGGTACTACCAGTACTGGAATTGATATGCCGAACATTTCCTGCGCTACCCAAACACCCAGCGTGACAAGCAGCTCTGGTTGAGAGAAAACAAGTCCCGCTGGTGAGTGTCCTGCATGGAGTAGTTCGAGCATACCGCCACTCCCGGCACACGATCCACGTCCACCTGGGATAGCTAGAATACGTCCTTTTATACTGCTCCCGCAAAGGGGGTGATGTAGGTCAATAATTTGTCCCGTGGTTGGGTCGACGCCGCCGTAAAAGCTGATGGGAGTGTCGGTCCAGAGAATATCTCCGGTTGCTTCTCCTGGGACCAGCGAGAGGCTGTCTCGCATTTTGTAGGGTGACATTGAAGTGATGATTAATAACTTTCTATGTCTCTCTTTTTCAGAGATTGGGTGTGTAAAAGAACCAAAACTTGAGCAGGAAGAGGTTTTTTTTCGATTCCTGTTGAAGATGACACCTGCTCTCCAACCTTGAAATATAACCATTAGAGCTTGGGCTGTGGAAAAGTAAGATCCGGAACGACGATCCAAATGGAAATCTTGAGGTTCGAAATCACATTTTGCTAATGAGAAACCACATTCTGGATATTCGCTATAGAAATCATAAATTCATTAAATCATCGAGATCGATAGTCCTGACTAGATCGTAAATCATAACTCTTCCGTCCATTCCCCAATCCAGCAGGATATAACTCCGGACCTCTAGAGACAGCCGACCCCCTCGTGGAAAGCGGCAGCAAATTGCCGCGATATTCAACATCCACGCTGCGCCGCATCCTTGAAATACTAATAATCTTCTCCATTTCCAAAGCCTGGAGCGATGTCTCTCGCTCCGGTGGTGTCTTGTTCCTCGATAGCCAGCGTCGACTGCTAACGCGGAAGAAACCACCAATATCATCGACTGTCAACGCGACCCAGACAAGGGGAATTGAGATCGCGAAGCCAATGCCGAATGTGTATTTTGCCACGTAGCCTAGATTCAAATTCTCGAATTGTTTTAGGTTGATTGTGAAGATGGAACTGATGAATGAAAGGGGGAGGAAAACGATTGTCACGATGGTGAAGACCATGATGGTTTTGCTTTGTCGTGTTGTGCCTGCTGCTTGGTCGCGGGCGAAACGGGCTTCGAAAGCGTTTGCGTGTTTTTGTTTGAGGTCCAAGAGGTCAGTTATGGAGTGGTAGATTCGTTCGGCTTGTTTGTCCATGCGGTCGATGTCTTTGAGGTGCATGTCGATTACGCGCTGCTGGTCTTTGAATCGTTTTTTCACGTCGAACTGCGAGCGGTGCTGGCCTTGGTATGTTTCGCAGATCACGTCTTGGAAGTCGAGTAGTACGTACTTCTGGTGCTCCAGTACGGTGCGGATCATGTTCAGTTCATCGCGGATGTCTTTTGTTTCGGCGAGGAGGTCGGTCTCTTGGCCGATATCGAGGAGTCGGTCGACGAATAATGGTTGACCGTGTTCGTCGCAGTAGTCGCTGCTCAGGCCGTCTTCTTCTGTGCCATCAACGGACTTTGTGCGAGATGAGCTGAAGGATCCGTCGAGTTTGCGGTGGCTTTTCAACCAGTCTGATGCTTGTACTGAAGCATGGTTGAACTGGTTGAAGAGTAGGGTTTCTTTATCTGTTGCTATACCAATAGATGACTCGAACATGTCCAAAAACTGGTACTCCTCATCGCCCAAGCGATGACGGTCGAACACGCCTGAGCAACGATTGGTGATGATCATCGCCAAATCATACACAGACCGAACGGGGTCTCTCGTTTTGGAGTTGATATCCTCGATAATCCCGTCCAGCACATTGAGAGGGTCGTTCTTCGGCTGATCCCATCGCTGGGGAAAGGCCGTCACAATGAGATTCGTGCCTAGAACCCACATCCACAATTGATCTACCATGAATATCTTGGGATCCGATCCCATTCCAGGGCTTTTGGTCTGGTATCGAAATACCACCTGATCCTGGTCGCGGCTCTGGGTATCAATGTTGGGATAGAAGAATTGATCTAATGTTCGACGCACATGAAGGGAAGTCGTTGAGGATGATAGATGGGCATCAATCAGCATCTCATCTTTAGTGCGCATTCGCTTCATGGCTGTACTGGGGAATGTCAGTGTCTCTGCTCGAGAGATTGCATCCTGCATTTTCTGCCGTCGCTCTGTGGTCTCGAAATGCAGGTAGGGCATGAATACGCAGACATTGCAGGTGGACACCAGAGGGTGGGCGTCTTTGTCTTTACACATTGACGTCGCGAGAGGCGATGATCGGGCTTTTTCCAGCCCCCAGGGCGACTTGCCCTTGGCCTCAGTCTTGGGAGTTCCTGGTGCACTCCCGGACTTTCCCTTCTTCTGGTTCTTTTTCTTCCCGTGAGAGCCATCGTCGTGATTGTATGAATCGACTCGTTCCAGCTTGCCGGGGCTTTTCTGCTTCCGGTCGTTGGATTTTGAGTGCCCATGATCCGACACCGGTTCTTCGGAAGTGTCCTCTTCGTGACGCCGCAACATTCTCCTCGGTGTATTTTGGCACAGCGGCCGCATGAAGTGCGAGTGAGTCCTCTGCCCCCGGTGCTGATAGTTAAACGACTTTTCCAAGCCCTTGAAACCATCCACATCATGAGCACCCTCCTCGATGAAAGACTTGGTGAGTAAAGCCTCCACCCAAGCCATATTGTTGGCCGGCAAATGAATCCACCTGAACTCGGTTGCTCGACTATCGGCCGGGACAGTGGTGACAGCCTGTTTCCGAGGATTCTCCTTGTCTCTGCCATAGAGCAGCTCAAAGACGGACATGCGCTTGACACGGTTCTCATTGTGGAAGTTTCCAAAATCCACCACCGTGGCATCGAAGGCAGCACAAGCACCCTTCACATCCTCAGACAGACTGTCAACATTGTTAAAAGGGGCCAACAACAAGACCACATCCTTCCTCTTGAACTGCGCAGCCCTCAAAAAGGGCGTACTCCCAAAATTATCCCTCACCCTCCTCTTCAAATCCCCCCTCTCCAGCAAACACTCCACCACCTCCCGATGACCCCCCTGAGCAGCCAAATGCAAAGGCGTCACTCCATTCAAAAGCTGAGCATTAATACCCGCTCCCTCATTCAACAATATCCTCACAATCTTCTCACACCCTTTATCACAAGCATTATGCAATGGCGTCCACCCCCCATCACTAGTAGCATTAACATTTGCCTCATGCCCCAACAACAAACAAACAATATCATCTCGATCATGCGCAGTCGCAACATGCAATGCAGTCTTCCCCCTCAACTCAACAGCATCAACATCCCCCTCCCCCACAAACATCTCAGCCAACTTCCAATTCCCAGTCGCACAAGCCCAATGCAAAGGCGTCCTACCCAACTCATCCCTCCCTCCAACACAACATCCCCCCGAAATCAAATACCTGACCACCTCCTCCCCCCACCCCCACCGACACTCCTTATCCGCAGCAAGATTATGCAACGCATTCCTCGATCTACCATCACAAGCATTCACATCCGCCCCACGCACAATCAACAACTGCAGAATATCCACATGATTCTTCCACGCAGCAGTCATAAGGGCCGTCCGGCCCTCTTTATCAGCAGTATCCGGACAAGCACCAGCATCCAGCAACAATTTCACAATCTGGTAATGATCCCGCTCAACAGCACGCAGAAGCGGCGAAGCGCGATTACCTAGGACATCTGTTTTCGCGCCTTGGGAAAGTAGGTATTCAGTTGTGGATAGGCAGGCGCGCTCAGCACTGCGCATTAACCCAATGCGCAGGAAATTGTCGGTTAGTTGGTTGTGTTCTGTGGCTAGGTGGAGGATTTGTTGGAGGGAGGGGACATCGTTGTTTTCGGCAGCGCGGAGGAGGCGAGGTTCCAGGCGTTCTTTGTCGCTGGTTATGCTGGACATGGTTATGACATGGCGGAAAATAATAGACAAGTAAGACTGGGAATGTTGAGATCAAGCAATTGACAGATGGGGATTTGGCCAGGGATGGAAAGAGATCTACGTTGAAGGATTTTAGGGGGTGAAGGACAAGGCTGTGCTAGTCCTCGTATTGTATGCGGGAAGTACGAACTCTGCTAACTTTGCCGGGCTTAAGAATACGGGATTATGCTTGAATTGTATGGAGTATACGAAGTAATCTACAAAAGTACTAGGGAATGAATTGAGTATACCCATTGTACAGATATTAAATCTATATTTCTAACGGTCTCCAATATCACATATTACGCGAAGGGGAATCCGAAGCGAAAACAGAAAGGAAAAAATAACAATGTGGAAAAGAACCCCTCCTCCGGAGATGCTGATGCTGAATATGGTGATTATAATGTGCTCTCCCGCCCAATTAGAGAATATGGCTTTTTAGTTTCCTGTGCTCCGGCTGCGCCAGTCATCTGAAAACCCAAAAGAAAAAAGAAAAAAATTGCTAGTTCTTCTTCTTGTCTTTCTTAGGCACTTCCCGCAAGATATCGTCGAAGCTCATGTTCGGGTTGAACCGGCTGATGGGACGAGTGGGAGGTTCGATGGGGGCAATGCCCGCGGGGAGGGGTAGAGCCTCCAGTCCGGGGTAGAACGAGTGACGATGTTGCTCGGAGCGCTGGGCAGCGCCTGGAGAACGGGTGCGTGGGATGGCCGGGGGAGGAGGGGAGAGGGCTCCGGGTGCCATGTTGTGCGGAGGTTCCGAGGAAGATCCGACGGAAGAGTGGGGACCCTGGTAGGGGGAGGAGATGGAGGATTCCTCGTCGTCGTAGGCCGCGTCTTCGACCATTGGGGGATCGATGAGGGCGCCTACATCGGCCCACTGCTCGGCAACTTGCCAGCAGTGACTGCGGCGATATACACCTTCCACTCCGTTGATGACTACATCAGACGGCAGACTGACAACACCAGCACCGCCAGCGACTCCGAACCAGCTGCGGGCGGTCTTGGTGTCATTCTGGATCCAGGGGGCACCTCCACGGGGAGCGATGCAAAGGAAGTATTCGACACCGTCGGTGTAGTGGACCTCGGGAACGTCGACAACCAGCATGGGAAGTGATTGAATAACGGCGTAAAGGAAGATCCATTGACCGCAGCGCAGATCGAGAAGGTCGTTGACGCTCTTCCCATGGGCTGAGCGACGCTCGAATTGCATGAAGCTCTCAATGAAGGGAGTGGGTCGCATTGCCTCCCGGGTGTAGGAGTCCATCAGCACGGCATTGATGTCAGAGCTCTTCAGCTTCTTGCCGCTCTGCTTGGCCTCCTTCTTGGCGTCCAGGGGCTTCCGGTGCAAGGGCTGCAGTGAAGGCAGCTGTGGAATGTCGAAAGGAATGGGAGGGAGCACGGGCGGGGTGCTGCGGTCGTATTCACTCAGGACGTGGCGCAGGGCACGGACAGTGATTTCCTTGGGGTCTTCGGAGGGGGTAGAGCTGCCTGCACCGGAAATATCGATGGTACGCGTGGTCAAAGACGTCCGATCCACCATCAGATCGTAAAGATCGGTAAAGTCATGGTAGAGATCGAGCAAGAGGGAACGGTTGAGACCATTCTCTTCGAATTCGTTCTTCTTCGATCGGGCCTTGGGAGGCCATGAGCCGTACTTTTGTCTGTAGTATTGGATGGTGAAGCGTCGGAATTCGTGGAAGCCTGTTTTCCAGTTCTTGAAGCGCACCACCTTACTCTCCGCCGAGGTGGTCGAGTTGGCGAAACCAGAGAACACCGAAGGGAAGTCGAAATCGGCAAGCTTTCCGTAAAGACCGCGGAGACGGGTGTCGAGATCGATGAAGGCACGTTCCATGCGTTTCTGCGTAATAGGGTGAATGAAGGTATATTTAGGACTGCGGAGCTGCTTGAGTTCGTCCAACTTTCCGACACCGTGGACGAAGCCCTCGACATATAGTGGGTAGTAGCGCAGTCGCTCACCGAGCACAATGGCCTCGATTGTCTTCTCTCTGCTTCTGCGTACATCCGCCAAGCGAAGCTCTTCACAATAATTACTGAAACTTGAGGTTGCAGTCTCACCAAAATTGGACTGATCCAGGTTTGAGAATTCAAAGCGGGCCAAAAGGACTGCCACGTCCATGAAGATGGAGAAGAGTGTGGCAGACTTCGGGGACGCGATGAGAGATTGACCCAACAGGAAAGCAAATAGGTTGCGGAACAGGAGGAGAGTCTCTGTGTCTTCTTGTGTCAAGCGTGCCTGGGGGTTGGAAACATCGCAGTTGAGGGGGATGGGCAGGTAGAGGTGGAGTTCCTGCAATTCGTCCGGGCTGTCATCGAACGCCATTCTCTGGCTACCCGAGCTGTCATTGTCATTGTCATTTTCCTGCCGGTCCTGCGGTGTCAATGGTGGTGACATGGGATTGGAGAGCGAGAGGGTTCGGGTCTGCTGCTCGAGGCCGTTCGTTTTGTCATCGTTGCCGCGAGCGAGGTAGGTCAGGGAGGGAGATTCCGCGAAGATAGTCGAGTCGACCTTGAAAGAAGCAGAGCGGCCGGTGTTCTGGGGGAAGAGGTACACATAAGTGTCACCTTGTTCGTTCCACAGTTCGGGAATCTGGGCAATTAAGGTTTTCACGTCAGCTTCGCATTGGTTGGGTCACCGTCGCCCAAATTCACGTACCTGTTCTCCTCTTGACAGGGGGGAGAGGTCATAGACGACCTTCTGGTCCAATCCTGCAATCCAAGCAGCCGGTAACATTGGGGTTGGGCGTTTGTCCATTGAGCTTGCGCGCGACCGGCCGGGCATCCAACTTCTCCGCTTCGACGGGGTGCTTGGACGAGAGTCTGGGGCTGAGCCGGGGATAGCGAGACCGGCAGAGCTGGAAGGTCTACTCATTTCACGGCCACGGCTTTGTGGTCGACCCACCGGCGAGCTGGGGGCACTGCTGGCCAGATCCTGATTCACAGCCATGAGTGAGGGTGGCGGGGGCAGGCTTTCCAGATCGAGTGGGCTGGGCATAGTTCGGGGTTCGGAGGAAAACACAGCATTGGGGGTTGAGACATGACGAGTCGGCCTTGAACTGCTCCTCCGGCGTTTCTCGGTTTCTGGGAACCCGGGAGACACAGGGGACGATTGTGACTCCCTATCCTTCGATCCCAGCGAGAATAGGGACGAAATGCGCTTCGCCGACTTAACGGGAGCCGACAACATCTTTGGTGGTGAAGATGTTGGGTAGAGTTTGGAGGTGCCCAGAGGAAGAGGGAAGGTCAACGCATAGAGGAATGGAGTGTACTTGGCGGCAGAGGGGGTAGGGGGGAGATCGGGGAATGGATCGGCGGGTTCAAGAATGGCAACTGAGAATGGATGAGGCTGATGTGTAAGGGAGAACGGGAAGAGAATTATTTAGGGGGGAGAGGATAGGAGTACCTTTCAGGTTCCTCTTTTTTTTTAATATCGCTCCGTATAAATCTATAAGTTACAGGTCATGAACAAGAAAAGAAAAAAAAAAAGACAGTTCCGACGTCTATTGCCAATAATAGACCTCACAGCACCAGTTGTGGTTCCCTGGCTGTGCATGTCTTGGATGTGGGCCCAATAAATTACTCGTACATCGCATTTCTATTCTACTTAAGTACTCTCTATAGTAGAATTATTCTAAAGTTCTATACTTGAGTAGAGATATCTTAATTACTTAAGTAGATCTCCAGTATACTTAGGGATTTCAGTTCTCCTGAAGTCCTGTGTGTAATGGTTTCCTAAAGTCCAAGGTTGTTGCATGTTATGTGTATGTACAGTACAAGAAACCCTGGAGCCTTGTGAGATCAGTTCAATCAGAGTCCATGTAACTACTTAAGTAGCACATTGGGTCTAGGATATCCTGGTGAGCCTCTTCGAAATATACTGCTTACATCTCGATTTTACGGTAGAAGGATATGGTTACTAGTCTGGTATTGCGGAACATTTTCCGTTATATATATGTGCGATCCACTGCCCAATGGATATCACACCATAGACTGAGCAAAGATCATACCCCAATGGCGAATATATCATATACTTGAATACTGAAGTAGATATTAAGTAGATTCCCCATGTATACTCGTAAATGTATGAAGTAGCGCATAAAAGCTGTGCCTTGTTCCTGTGGACATCAGATCCATGGTTCCGATCTCGGATCCTTAAATTTCCACGGTTCTCCAGTTTCTAAAGTTTCTGAGAAGCTCGTTTCATTACACTCGATACACTACTTAAGTACCCATGGATATGAGTGCAATGACCGAACACATCGACCTGTCGAGCGGTTGGCCCAACCCCGCCCTCCTCCCCGCCAACCTACTCCGCACCTCCGCCACAGAGGCCCTCTCCAACCCCTCCGTTAAAGACACAGCCCTACATTACGGGGCCGATGAAGGCTATGATTCTCTACGCACACACATTGCAGAGTGGCTGAGCACCTTCTATCAGCCTTGCGCTCCAGTCACCGCCCCACGTGTCTGCATCACCGGCGGCGCGAGTCAGAACCTGGCCTGCGTCCTCCAAGTGTTCACAGACCCCATCTACACCCGCAATGTCTGGATGGTGGCACCGACCTATTTCCTGGCCGCGCGCATACTAGACGACGCCGGCTTCGCCGGCCGCCTACGAGGGATCCCAGAAGATGACGAAGGCATCGATCTAGAATTCCTGGAAAAGGGTCTTCAGGCCGCAGAGGCAACAGCCCAACAAGATGGCAATACCCATCCAGTAGGACATGACCCGCGCGTGGACCTCACTGTGGTATCCCACGGTGCCATTTGTTGCAGTATCGACTGACACGACCTGCAGAAGCTGAAACCCGCCAGGCCCTGGCGCAAGATCTACAAGCATGTCATCTATGCGGTGCCGACGTTCGCGAATCCCTCTGGTAAGATCATGTCGCTGCGGCGGAGGGAGGGGCTGGTCCGGATTGCCCGGCGTTACGATGCACTCATCCTCACGGATGATGTGTATGACTTCTTACAGTGGTCTCCGACGCCTGGTGGACCGTTTCCCGATCGGGCGTGCGTCCCGCGCATCGTCGATGTCGATCGGTACCTGGATGGTGGCCCAGTCGATGAATGGGGACACGCAATAAGCAATGGTAGCTTCAGTAAGCTAATCGGTCCAGGTGTCCGCACTGGCTGGGCCGAGGCGTCGGATAAGCTGGCCTACGGATTATCGCAGACGTGAGTGACTTACGACTGGCGAAGGGCGTATCCCGACTAACCTGGTACTAGTGGCTCTTCGCGATCAGGTGGCGCTCCTTCACACCTAACCGCCGCCATCATAGACCAGCTCTTCCCAACTGAAATCACTGCGCATCTCCAGAACCAGCTTATCCCCAGCTACGCAAGCCAGTACCACACTTTGGTTTCTGCCATCCACGAGTATCTAGTTCCGTTGGGCGTTACAGCGTATCCACCCGGCGCCGTGTCCGGAGGCTACTTCATCTGGCTTAAACTACCGGAAGGACTGAACGCCTCCCAAGTGGCTGAGCAAGCGCAAGAGGCGAAAGTCCGAGTAGCCTCCGGTGTCGCGTTCCAAGTGCCCGATGATCCGAGTGATACCCCAGCGGTATTTGGGGACCATATACGCCTCTGCTTTGCGTGGGAATCGTCGCGGCACTTGACGGAAGGCGTGCGTAGACTAGCGCGCGTTTTGGAGCGTATGAAGAACGGTACTGTTACTCGTACGCAATAGATCCACGCCACCAGCCACCGGACCGTACCGTTTCCACTCGGGACGCGCGGCTGCATCTAATCTAAGACAATATATAGGAAGCTGTTCGGACAATTACCTCAAAAACCTCGATTCGTACAGAGGACAGAATGCGAAGTACTTAGTATTTTGCACTTCGTAGTCAAGTGCAGGCTTCCAAGGGTTGACCAAGGAGAATTGAGCAGATCATGTGTTGTGGCCCCAGGGGCAAAATGCCCAGTCCGCCCAGACCGCCTGGGCAGGCAAATCGCCCATGTAGGCAGCTTGGCATCTGTCTCCGTACTTCATACACTGAGTCGCAGTGAGTATGACAAGTATGAGGCATCTAACCCTTTGTCTCATAGGGGGAACCCGATCTGCCCAAAGCTTGGCAGCATCAGCCGAGACAATCGCAAAGAAAAACTCCCGGGCACATCCCGAGCGGGTCCCTTCAGGGGCTTACAAAAGCTTGGCCGCGAATCGCACGTTGAAGCCTTGAAGCCTTGAAGCCCTTTCACGAGCCGTCCTCTTGTGTATCAAGGAAGTGGCATGCGATTCCAGACACGCCCAGGCCTACTATACTTCTTGACCTCCGTCATGAAGAATCCCCCCTCCTCGATCCCAATGGAATGTTCATCCATAGCAACCCCTAACTACCGAAGAGTTGGGTGATCGGAGTGTCCGACGCGTGTCATAACACGGCCTGCGACCATGACAACAGACATCAAAACAGCTCAGAGCAGGACTGCAATCCCCCAAGCTGAGCAGCGAGCAGAGAATCTGAGCTGTCCGGCGTACTACTGGGGGGGCACATTGAACTCCCTAATGTTAGTGCCCCCAGGAGCCCCACCTGGATCAAGGCATACAGGTACGCGCTCTCTCGCAATGTTATCTGTATCTCCCTGGAAAAAGAAACCCACGACACGTCTATGGAATGCAGTGGCCTTGTTTTGGACACTAGTTATATAGTTTATAGAAAACCCCGTCGCGACCCAGTTCTCATTTCCGAGCTGTGCTGCTTTTCTTTTTCCGTCACTCCTTATTCTTGAGCACGCTCCTGAACCTTACTATCCTTTGCATAGTAAGATTAAACAGTCTGCTAAAAATCCGATCGCTGGACGCCACTACGTGCCACGATCCCCGATCGGTTAATCTGCAACACTCCGACCATTGATCGGCTTTTTCAGCGTTTCATCCCCCGTCCATCGCGTTTCACGCCGTCGAGTCGCTCGGCCAGTGCGGGCTGTTATTGGTTGGTCGCCGTGGACTTTTCTGACACGGCGCTTCTGATAGGCTCTGAATAAGAGACTGCAGACGCTCTATTTAATTTTAGTATATCAGGGTGAGTCGGTTGATTTGGTTGATTCGGTCCCTTTTTATTCTTCTATTCATCCCTCCTATTGTTTTTACCCCCCCCCCACCCCCCCCCCCCCCCCCCCCCCCACGCCCTCTCTCTCCCCCACCTCCCCCAAACCCAACCTCGTTTTATCTTT